GTTTAGATGATGCTAGGACCGATCGGTATAGGGTTTTAACAAAGCATTAGGGTTTAGGTTTTATATGATAAAGCCGATTAGGAAAAATAAAACCAATTAGGGTTTTGACAAGAAGAAAGAGGATCGGTTTGGTTATGGTTTTAAAAACGAAAAAGACGATGAAGAATCATGAAAAGAACCGATCCATATTAGGGTTTTCAAAAAAAAAAAAAACCAAAACTTTGATTAGGATCTATAGTTTTAGATAATACCTTTTCGCCAAATGGATTTCTGACCGGCTTATGATCTGGGAGCTAAAGACCACAGATATCTACTGGAAACTCCTGAGAATGATGGCCAGAAGGGAGGACGAACAGCTGCTACAATAGAGGAACCACCGCTTGGAAAGAATCACCCGCTAAGGTGGGACAGCGCCGATTGTTTTGAGTTGTGAGGGCGCGTCTGGTGTCGGATTGAGGAGCGGTTTTCACCACTAGATTCTTCTCTTCCAGGGCTTCAAAATGATATGTAGATCGCCTTCTAACTCCTTGTATTTTGAGAGATATTATCGTTTGAAGTTGAGCTTCGTGCTGATAACGTGTTGAGAGAAAAACTAGGATCTTATTATTTTCCATAAGCAATATATATATACATTACATAACTAATGTATCAGAAACCCTAATGGGCTATATGAGACATTAACCTGATGGTTAATAGGCCGGTTACTAGAAGTCCATTTGTTTATAACAACATGAACAATAATTCGTTTTCTATTAAAAATGAATAGAAAATAAAAATGAGCAATAAATAACAGAACATAAACAATAATTCATTTTCTATCGTAAGAAAACAAAAAAAACAGAGAACAATAAAATACAATAAAATAGAAATGAAACTCATACAAAAGAATTAATAATAATAGAAAAAAAAATCTTTACGTAGTGTTAAGGAAATCTTCGTGTACGTAGTATACTTTGAATGGAACAACAATTAAACAAACAAAACGATCTGGAGAACTGAGAATCTGAAAATAATCAGAGGGATCAAAACAGAGGAATCTACGATCTAGAACTTGCCTTATACACCAGAGAAACGAAGACAATTAAAACAAGGAAATCGACCTGGAGAACTGAGAGCTTGAGAAACACACCTTCCGTGAAATTCGTGATCAGATGTAGGAGAAGAAGAAACCTGCAGAAGGAGAAGAGGAAGCAAACGCAGACTTAGAACTGATCACTACTGAATCATAAGCGAGCCATGAGCGAGCCAGTCTATATATAAGCTCAAACCGGTTTTGCTAGTGTCATGGTTCCGGTTCAATTGATCAGTTTTGTGTTACTACAAACTATTGTGTGTATCTTTTGGTACGCTAATTATTTTGTAGCAACTAGCAACACTAAACAATTCCCATGTCGTAGTTTTGTTTTTTTCTTTATCTCTAAAGACATCATGGCTGATGATGGCTTTATCAAGTAATGAATTAATTAATGGTAATGACGTTTACAAAGATAATTCATATTCGATAAATTTGACTTATGTTTTGTACTTTTGTTAACTTAATTTTGATAGTTATAACTCTTTTGGAATAACCTAATGTCATATCCTTGCTTGAGGAACACACTTCTTGTATACCCAACTATTCTAACATGCATGAGATTCAAATTCTTAACGGATTAGTATATAATTTGAATAGAACATGAACAATAGTTAAAAAAAAAAAACATGAATAATAATTAACACCAATAGTTCGGGTTTGGTTTATTCAGTTTATCCCGAACAAAATTTTACCCATTGAAAGCTCACGACGGACGAATTGCATCAGGAATCTATATTCTTCACGCATCTTTCACTGCCAACAATATAGGCCCATAAATCAAATATCAGGCCCATCTGGTACTGTCCTTTAAAAACTAAACAAGCCCTCATCCGGATAAACAAACCACCACCTAATTTATCGATCATGCAGATTCTGAGATCCCTAGTTGCGCAGGTATAACGTCTAATAATCTGAATCACTGATTTAGTGATTTATGTTTATGTTTTTTTTTTCTTCACTTAATTTCTAGAGACAATTGGCGAAAAAATCCAGTTTGGAGACGAATTTGCGGAAATGGCCAAGGGTCCACCAAAAATAAATAGTATTGTGTGTATGATCATGAGTAAATACTATTATACCCCTAAAAAGATTTGCCATGTTGGTCGATGCACTATGACAGAATAGATATAATGATTTTGGATAGGGTAACTACAAATATAAGTAGAGTAGGCAATGTTTTTATACAGAAAAACACAACCACACAAATTTTTTCTGGTAGACGTACCATATATATTATAATAACAAGATATATATTTTTTTATAGAATAACAGTTATTATATCATATATAAATATAGATATAACATTATGATTTACATGATAAAGATAATGTTAGATTAATAATAATATATATGATAGATATTATTGATATACTCAACATGTTACATATAAATTAACGTATAACATTATAACTAACTAGGTACAAAATATGTTAGATTGATAACAATAGTGAGTTATATAGATGATCAAAGATGTTATTGGTATACTTAGCATAATACATATAAAATTAACGTCTAACATTATAATTAACAAGGTAAAACATATGTTAGATTAATAACAATAATGAATTATCTAGATTATTATAGGTGTTATTTTTGTAGTTAGTGCGCTACAAAAACATATAACACTCTAAATGTATTGTTAGTAGTTTAACAATAAAATTATAAAAGTAATTCAAATAGATACACAGTACTATATATATATATATACGTTAGCTCGACGGATTTAATGGCGGAGATGCCAATACTGTCGCTGGAGGCGGTGGCGCGATTGTTGTTTCTGGTGTAGATGGAGGCGTGCAGTGGTTGTATCCGAATCCGGCGGAGGAGGTAAAAATTGTGGCTGAGGATTTGGATTAGGCGTAGAAGGAGGCGGAGGCGGTTCGGGTTTACGATCGGCGCCGGCGGATTTGAGAAAATTGGAACAGACGGGTTTGGTGATGATGAATCGGGTGGAGCGGGTGGGGAAGATCCAAGAACAGGAGGGTCCAGAATTGGATTCAGGTCAGCATTAGAAAATAGAGTTATAAAAAGGAAAGTGGAGGAAGAAGAAGAAGAAAAATAGTCACCGGAAGAAGAAAAAGAATCAGCAGAAGAAGAATCAGTAGAAGTGTTCAAAATTTTATAAAATATTAAATTAATATTTTTGACATAATATCAAATCAAGAATGTGTATAGATGCAAGAGAGATAATAGGGATAAGGATGCCATTATGAAAATTGCACAGTAACGTAATAGTGTGTTTTCCTATTCTGCAAATTAGGAATAGTAATGAGGTTATTTAGTGCATTTACTTTAATTTCTACGATACACACAGTGTTACCGTGGAGGGAGATTGGTTAGGAATCGCGATATCTCCTCACTGACGACTAGTAACAATAATGGTAACGCCTCCTTCCTTGTCTGTTTCCGCATTCTCGAGCGGATTTTTGATTGTCCTTTTCGATTGCAGTGCTCAATGGAAAAAGAGCAGAGGTGAGAGCTTTCTCGAACGGAATCTTATTTTGTAGTGCGTTTGTGGGAAGTGGTTGCATTGTTTACTATGGTAATATATGTTCATGTCATTAATTAATTACCTTACATAAGTATTATTTTTTTAGATGATTCAATTAAAAAACATGATCGCTTCTTCTCTCATTTCTTAGAATATAGATCCATTAAAAGAATGAATCAACGGGCAGAGATACATAAGGACGAGCTCAAACTCCGTGCTAACGCAGGAATCGCACAGGTATATGATTTATCATTTTTTGTTAGACACACACAAAAGAAAAAAAAAAAATTCATTGGGAGAGATATGATTTATGATGTAAACCAAAAACTCTACATCCATCCTAAAATCAAAGAGGAATATTTGATGTTTTATTTTATTTCATTATTATGATTCAGGTTTTGAGTGGAGAATAAGAAAAAACAAAAATAATCATCATTTACTTGTTATATTAACAGTTATATTTATTAGTGTCTTCTCTTCCATATTTAATAGATTAGTTTCTTCCAGTGACCCTTTGAAACTTATATAGCATAATATATGCCAATGTGAATCCCTTTCGTGCGTTTTCAGGTATCGGAGCCACGAATTAAGAAGAAGGGGGAGAGAGAGAGATGAATAAGTTGAAGCAGTGAAGAGTAATAAACACATGCATGATAGTTGGTGTTTTAATTTCTCTCATTTCATTACTAGTTAGATATTGCAGCCAATGAGAAAGTAAGAGTTGCAACTGGATCCAAAAAAATAAGTCAGTTTTATTTGGTGTAGAAGTTAGACATCTTTAGCTGTGTTCAGATGTGTGGAATCATGGCAGAGATATATAATAATTCGATCGTCAATTTGTTTCGGATTTTCCTCACCTCTTTGTTCAAAATCAAAACCAAAATTTGAAACAGATATTACAATATATATTACCGTAGTTAAACCGTATATATTGCTAAACGAACTGTCTTTTAGTATTTACCTCAAGCAATGAAAATTCAGATTTAGTCCATGTAGTGTGAGAGCACCGAGTATCTCATCGTGGTTTAAAAGCAGGCCTCAAGGGATTCTGGTTATTATGAATTTGGTTTTGTTTCATATTCTCGGTTTAGCTTTTGGTTTGGTGAGATCTTTTGTTGATGCCTTGTCCTTATCAGTTATTTGTCTTATTCTTCACCTAGGTAAAGGGAGAGAGAGATCCGTATAAATAGGAAATACAAAGAAGAATAAATCATTTCTTTCTTAAAAACATTAACTTAACCAGAGAATAAACCTTTTGGTGCTTCAGTTTCAACTACTTTGATATGGAGAGAGATCCGGTAGAATCTCATGGGTTTGTTTGAAGTGAGAGGACAAAAAAAAAACAGTATCGTGTAAATAAAATCTTCAAAATTCTTAAAATAATTCTATTTAATTTCTCAAATTATCCAAGCATTTTGTAATTTGTAGTTCCCACTTCGCAATATTAAATGTAATCTCTCATTTATCTACAGCTAAACTCAATTTTCTGTTCGTCGCATTTACAAACCACCACCTAATTTTTCGATCATGCAGATTTTGAGATCCGTAGTTGCGCAGGTATAACGTCAAAAAGAGTATAATTATTGTTTAATATTACGTTTGTTCTTTGGACTTTCTTCGAGCGATCGATTGATGAAAGTAATACACAGTGTTACCGTAGAGGGAGATCGCTTGGGGATCGCCAATCTCGCAATTTCTCTTCATCAACTTGTACCAATGGTAACGTTCTTTGTTTTCACATTCTGATCTATTAAAACTCACTAGCGTTAATTATTGGATTTCATGTATGTGTATTCGGATTTTTGATTATCTTCTTTTTTTTTTAAATTGTAGAGTGGAAGCGAGAAAGTCCGAAAGCTGGAGACTGGTTATATGGTGGTTTTTGTATGTATCATTTTTTTTGTTTTGTATTCCCTTCTTTTTCGAAGAATTAGTCAGCTTTGTGAATATCGTTTGCATGTTTTAAGGTGTTTTGCTGTCCTGCAAATTTCTGCAACTAGGGGGAATGATGCTAGAGATGGATGTGTATGAAGGTAAAAAAGCAAAATCAAGAAGAAGATTGTTACCAAGGAGGGAAAGAAAGTGACGTTTAGTACGTATATATTTGTGCAAAATCAAGAAGAATATATATATTTGTGCTTATTCTTTCTCATCTTCATTTTCTTTGTGTGCTTCAGAGATTGCAGCCAAGGAGGGAAAAAAAGTGGCGTTTAGTACGTATCTATATTAGTATTTGCGAAGTGATTCGGGCTGTGGTTTAACGCACAGATTTTTGTGTCGTTTTGATTAATGAAATTATAAGGATTTGATTGGTTGATAATTGTTATAATTTGATTGGTTGAATTAGTTAATTTTAAATCATTAAAATCGATATTAGTTGCTAAAAAATGGAAAACTTCTTTAATTCAAGTAAGATTTGATTGGTTGATAATTGTTATAATTTGATTGGTTGAATTAGTTAACTTTAAATCATTAAAATCGATATTAGTTGCTAAAAAATGAAAAACTTCTTTAATTCAAGAAAACAAGGCATGGGCCATAATCTCTTCTCTCGAATAAATTGGCTCAAATTTCAAACCCAAAAAAAAATATACATACCTTCCAATACGTCGTTTGTGCTGATTGAGATGGTAGTGTGTTGGTTAAGTGCTTTGTCCATTTTTCGAAGGTTCACGGGTTCGAATCCTGTGATTAGTGTTTTTTTTTTTTAATTCTATTTTTGGAAATATTTTGTATTTATTAAATATTTTGTAAAAGGGAATATTCCATAATTTCTTTGTTATTATCTACAATGGAATCTTTACATTTTTATTATTAATAGCTACGAAATTCATGGGAATATAATATCGCATGTAAATCAATAATTACATTTTAGTATTTTTCACAAGAAAATAAACCTTAGGTTGTTTAGACGTATAAATATGAGCGTTTTCAACCAAACTTCTCATAATTAACGCATTAGTTTTTCTATTAGGGTTCTGTGATTATTTTGCTAGGGTTTTTATAATAGCATTAACTTTTTGGATCTCTTTAGAAAAGATTCAGCATGTTTGTCTATTTGCATGCAAAGCTAACAATGTGTTCGTTTAAGTACAGCTTTGATCATCCATCTAAAGTCAGCATCACTTGGGAAGTTCCGTCTACCGATTCTGGTATATATGTATAACTATTATCAAATTTAATAATAGTATGTATGCTCTCAATTTTTTTAGATGAATTCTAAAAATTTATACGACTATAGGTTTTGATAACCAGGCTTATGCTCGCGGGTTAAAGTCTGTGTTGAAATCGCATCGTCAGAATATGGATAACAAAGACATGACTGATTATCGTTACGTGACTCCATATGTTTTCGTGGATATCACAAAAAAAAAGGTTGTTGAACCTCTTTAGGTTATTCATTCAATTTATAATACTTATTAGTAGTTGTTTGTATTTGTAGGTTATCCATGCAAGCTACTTATCGATTCTGCTATCGATGAATGGACCTTGCGGACATATAATCCTGTTATCGAAGGTAGTCCTGTCTATTAATCTTACAGTTTTTACCTTTTGTAATGCTATATCTTAGCCTTTCAGATGCATACCCTTATTATATATTAGTCTATGAACGTTTTCAATTTTTATGTAGATATTGATTCTTCGTATCATATATCTATTCTTGATCACGAGTTTTTTATCAAAGAAGGTATTTCCGCTCTTAATGTAATATATTTTTGTTAATGGTGTATATTAAGTCTTTCTGTTTGTTCTAATGTTTGTTTTGTGTATTTAGTTTCTGATCGTGTTAATACGAGTGATCATGCTCAGAAGACTTTTCTATGGGATTTTGCGAGGAATGCTTGAGTTATGAATAAAGAATCTAATGGTTTCAATTCTTTGTTTTTTGTTTTGAACACTGTTTTTTGGTTTTTTAGGATACTAATTACATCGTTTTTACATATATTTATCTATGCAGAAGATAGTGACTCTGATGATATTGAGGTTTTATCGGGTCGTGGTACTGATGATGATTATGGTTTTAGAGATTATATGGGGTCTGATTCAGAGACGGGTGAAGATACTGATGATATGGACCAAACAGATGAGTATGATTCTGAGGATGATTTTATTGACGACGATGAGACTTGTGAAGAATCTGATGGTTCAAGTGATAGCTCAGAAGATGATAGCGGTGATGACGAAGATGAAGATGACGACGATGCCGATTCAACTGATGATAATGAAAATGATGATGAAGATGTTATGTTGGATGATGAGACTGATATTGACGATGATAGTGAAGATCAGCGAAACGTTGAACTGAGTGATATACTCATCGAAAAGAGTATTAGTATATCTGGACACCAGGATTCGGTGTGTACTTATACAGTTTCTCTTGGTTCAATGTGTTTTGGTAAGTGTGTTTCACGTTTGAGTCCTTCCAAAGATGATTGTACTATCTTTGTTAAGGTTTTACAAACGTGGGTGCATATGCTAATTTCGAAACGTTCTTCTATGGAGCTCATATTGTCGGATGAACAGGTATTTATTGTACTATTACATAAAAGTATCATAAATTTTAGTCGGTGTCTAATTGACTGTTTTATTCACAGGGTGTAAAAATTCAGGCCACTGTTAGTGATGGTGAGATCAGTGTTGCATCGTCTCGCATAGATGTTGGTAGTTGGATTATTATCAGTCGTTTTTCTGTTACCGATTGTGAGGATAGTTGTAGACCGACTTCTCATAGATACAAAATATTGTTCCTACCATCAACTATCATTGACAAGACTTCACGTAGATGTGAAAATGCCTATTTTGACTTCGTTGATTTTCAAAGGATATTGGATCGTTCCCATGATCATGACTATTTAGTTGGTGTGTTTATTTTGATTTAGTTATTGAATTTCTTTATTGTTATCTTACTGATGTTAACATTGTTTAATTTTTGTTGTCTATGAAGATTTGATAGGTCATGTCTTAAATGTAAGACTATCTGGAACGTCTTGTGGTTTACTGACTGGAGAGCATTCTTTTCCTTCATATGGCAGTCTATGTAATGATATATGTGATTCCGAGATATGGGGTTCATATTCAACCGTCACGTTCTGTCTTAAAGATAAACGGTACTGTCTGCTGAATGTTTTAAACTGTATAATATCGTTTTAATTATTCTATCCATCTGAATATGTGTGGCATGTTTTAATTTAGTGGTGTTGATTTGAGTTGTGAATTGTTCGGTGAGATGGCGAAAAACTTTTATGCATCTTGGAGACGATGTGATCAAGATATCATTGTGTGTGTGCTTAGATGGGCTGTTATTGATTATTTTGGAGGTATTTTTAGTATACTAATTTATATTCTCTATGTTCGTTTCATTTTATTGTTTTGACTCTGTATTTGGTTTATCAATATAGGCAAGATCACTATATCTTCCACATCTCCTACTAAGTTCGAACTCAATCTCCGTATTCCTGAGTTAGATGAGTTTTTGGAACAGTGAGTTTCTAATACTTTATGTTTGTATTTTGACTTTTTGGTATTAATTCGTGGTCGCCTTCTCTCTCTCAAGTCTTTTTTATAACAATGCAGATATCCGCGTAAGAGGCCATGCACGTGTGGTAGTGTAGCACGTCTACAATGAATAATGTTATGACGTCTACATTGAATATCATTTTTACCATGTATACAAATTATAGTTTAATTATTCTTTGTTTTTCAGACCTCTTTATTTTAATCAATAAATATATTTTTTTAATGAAATTATTATTGTTGTTTGATATTGAAGTATATAGAGCGGAGAAAATAATATAAGTTATATATTCACATAAATAACACATGCTTTTATTAGTTTCTTGGACTCCAAGTAACTCATATTTATAAATATTTAAGAAGATTCGAATATATCCCCGATCATATCATAAATTTTAGTTTTTTCCATTTAGTGTCTATGAGAATCATGGTGTTTGAATGGATTGTTTTATTGATTTCTTGGACTCCAAGTAATTTATATTTATAAATATCTAATAGGATTCGAATATATCCCCGATCATTCCACAATTTTGTTTTTTTTTCATTTAGTAGCTATGAAAATCGTGGTGTTTGAATGAATTGATTAATTAGTTATTAAAAAGGAAAAACTCGGTAGTTGAGAGGTGTGTATAAAATGTAAATAAAGGAAAACATTCTAAGAAACCTTAGAAAAAAAATAAACAACGCGTAAACCACATAATTCTTATATCTCTATATATATGCATATATTTTGGTATACGTATATATATGCGTCTATCGCGACTTCACAGGTTATCAGTCTGCATTGTTAGAATTGTTTGCATTCGGGTTCTTCGATGAAAGCGTTTGGTAAATGAGTTTTGTATTACGTTTTTGAGGACGTCACTAATCGTTAGTTTTCTTTACGGTATTTTATTGATTGTTGTTATTGTATATATGATTGTTGTTCTATTGTACATGTCTAGGTGCTCACAGGCGACCACGTGTTAATTGGCAAGTTATGCCGTTTCATCTCCCGGGGGAAATTATTGTGTTTTCTAATAATTTAGATAGACGTGATGCTGCTAGAAAACCTAAATTCCTTGCTTGGTTTAGGTGTAATCAGTCTTATCCAGAGGCAAGGAATCTTTTATACTCGGAGATTCCTTCTATGTTTGTATGGGATCGTAAAAATAGGACATGGAGGCCAAGACTAAAAGGAAATTCTGGTGCTTGTGTTGTGGACGAATCGCCGACTGAGTATGGAGAAGAGTATTATCTGAGACTATTATTGGACATAGTTAGGGGTCCATGTAGTTTTGATGATATTAGGACTGTTGGTGGAGTCGTTTATCCTTCGTTTAGAAGTGCATACCATGCATTAGGGTTTGTTGGTTGATTATCAGAAGTCAGTAATTTTTTACCATGTTTTTTTTTAGTTTCTTTATCGTGGTATACTTATCTCTTATTTTAACAAAAGCAATATATAATAAATGATATTAGAATAATTATATATATCAGCTTTGTTATAACAATAAAGTTTAATTATAACATATTATTATTCCGCTTTTCCATAATCTTATCGTTGCTTATATTTTATCAAAATAAAATAAAATAACTATATATGATACGCTGTATATATAGAGTTGTTTATCATTCTTTTGGTGTTTTGCAAACTGCAAACTTCGGTCGGTGTATTTGTGATGGATAACTCATATCGTTGCTTTTCTTTTACCGAGTTCGAGTATATAATAGATG